CTTTTTATACTATTTCAACCCAAAAACCTTTTTAACCCTCTTTTCCCCTTTCCACCCATTAAAAACGTTTTTGAGTTGAAATGACATAAAAAGATTTGTTGGGACTAATTTTTATGATCAAAAGTCAATAAAAGAGGAAGATAAGAGACGAGAGGATACGGTGAAATCTTTAGGGGTTTCTTTATGCCACTTGAAAGAAAACGGAAGGAGGTTCTACTATGAAAGAATATGAAGAATTAGCGTTTTATACGAAATTTTCCCTTTTATAAACCATGAGATCGAAAAATTAGCGAATTTTAATCGTTCATTAAATTTTTTGTCAATAAGATAATAATGTTTATTAAATGAATAAGATTCCAAAGTCATAGCACAAAAAGAAAAATCGTGTCTGATTTTCAAAGTGTATCAAGGTATTTCAATTTAAATTTATTTTTATATAAATCATCCTGAAATAAAATTTTGGATGTCCACACTTCTCACCCTCACGCACCTATAAAAAATAGAGAAAAATAATTTGAAAATATATCATCATAATCACCATCATGATCATCTGAGCTTTAACTAAACTATTTGAGGTCGGTTACACGAATCTCATTCTATCATTCTGCTCTATCAAGAGCCACACCCTTAATCAAACAAAAAATCACCATATCTCTTTCAATTCTTCCATTCATGTCTTTTTGGGCCTTTTCCTTGCTCTTTTAGAATATTTGAACCAAATCGTCATAACTAACCAGTGTTGTATTAGATAAATATAATGATCAAATACACTCGCAAACAATTGAGTGCATGTCCATCTATTTCAATATACTTTTTTTGTTTTCTATACATTGGATTGAGCTAAAATTATGGGCTATTTTTCTTACTTCATGCACTTGTAAAAATAGAAAATATATTTTAGAAAATAAAATGACCAAATCACCATTGAAACTCCACAGTGTAGTTCACTATCATTAGATCTTGATTGAACAGTCCAAAACCTATCTATGAATTTCAATTTTGAGTTTTTATATAAAATTAAATTGAGATAAAATTCTCAATATATATTTAAATATCATGCACACATAAAAATATCAAAAAAATAGTTTATAAAAAAACAAATGACCAGATACCGCTGAAACTTTGAAGGGTATTTTGGTCATTTGTTCTATTTAAAATTATTTTGTATTTCTTTTACATATGCACACCAATGAGGAACACACATCCTCCAAGTTTCATCATCATCATTCAATTTTGGGAAAAAGATCATTTGATGTTTTGTGTCGAATTTTCAAAATCCAAAATAGTCCGAAAAAGGAGAAAATCCACATTGTCTCATTTTTTTGGGCGATTGACATCCTCATTTTGGTGGAAGCCCACATTTCTCATTATCGAGAATTCCTAAACTAAAAAATGCTGTAGCTTTTAAAAAAAATGGGTCATTTAGTGTAGTGACCAAACGCCCTCAAAACTTCCTTGGGAATACGTTCTCAAACCTATAAATCAAAACTTCCTTGTTTGCTTCATGCATAACAGTTTGCATATGTATAACAATTTTCAAAACAGTTTCTTGTGCAAGAGTTTTTCAATTTGGTTTCCATGTCTGGGGTTCATGTGTACCCAGTTTCTTATGTTTGTTAAGCCATAAAAAAATTACAAAAAAAGCCCAACCTGATTTTTTTTCACTTTTTTTCCCAAAATACACTTTTCATGCAAATAGCCCCCAACCAAAAATAAAAATAAAAAAATGCCTAAACTACCCTCCCTTACTTTTAACTTACACATGCTTCTCTCTCCTCTATCCCACCAAAATAGGGGCTTTGACTCTATGTAAATGCGATCCAGCAATAGGGCTCCGGCATTTTGTAAAATGTGGTCCGGCAGTAGGACTCCTACACTGTGTACAATACGGTCCGGTAGTACTCAGTTTCGGTCCAGCAGTACTCAGTTTCAGTCCAATAGTTGTCTTTGGGTGGTCCGAGTAGTTGTCTTAGCCGTCCAACAGTACTCAGTTTCGGTTCAGTAGTTTTGTTAGGGTGATTTGAGTAGTTGTCTTAAGGTGGTCCGACACTTGTGCGCTCCAGTAATGTGATGATGCACTCCGATAATGTGCTACTATGGGGAAAAAAGTGAGAGAAAAAGTTTGGGTGAGGATAAGTTGCATATATCAAGTTAACTATTTCACTTTAGTTCTTCAATTCTCCAATTTTCAGGGACGTTAGATGTCCTACCTAAAATTTTCTCCTTTTCATCAATTCAATTTTGCTATAGCATTGCCATTACAAATCACATTTTCGAGGCAACTTAAACTCGATGAATAATCAAATTGTAACCCATACATACAAATTATGAGTTATAATAGTATGAATGGTGTAATTCAGAAAATTTTATACTAAAAATATATTATCAAAAAAGAGAAAATGATACTAAATGGAAAAAAAAGTCATAACCCATCTTTCTTTTTCCTCTTTTACTTTTTAATCTAGGAGAGAACTAAAGAAAGTCATGTAACAGAACTATAGAAGAGCAATAAGCATTCAAAAGAAAACTCAAATTCACCAACACAAATCCTCACTAATTGAGCAACCAGAAATTTTAAAAAATTGACATAATTGATAAATTGATCAAATGCAGCAGCTAAAAAAGCCAATATAATATGAAAAAAAGTGAATAAGCAATGAAAAGATTCACACCCAAAATCAAGTCTCTTTGAAGTGGCCCTGAGCCTCCATTGAAATCGAAAAATGGAGTTTTCCAAAGCTTGCAGGGCCAGCTCCACTTGATCATTATCCATTGCCCAATCGAAAAAATAAGTACAAAGTGGGTTTTAATTAAATTACTGAAAAAAAAAACAAATAACTCTTAATTTTGAGCAATGATCCAATGAAATGGTTGTATCATAATATAATGAAACGACACTTCTAGAAATCCATGTTTGTGGCATTTGTATGACCCCAAATTTTGCACACTCTCTTTATCTCAATAATCAATCTCCCAAAAAAAAAAAGTTCAATTTGAACCCTAGATATGGTCAAAATGAATCCCTTCCAAAAACAAATCTAGACCTTCATTTTGTGAATTTCAAGATCTTAGCGTTTATAAATTCAAAATCATTTTTTTCTTTTTTAACATTGTTCATCTCATGATAATAAAGTCATTCAAAAAAATTGGAAATGAAAAAATCCTTTTAAGACCTAG